TTTTCAATAAGTACGCCAGTTGTTTTTCAACAAATTTCTTGGCTGTTCCATCATCTCGTTATTTTACGTACAACGAAAACAAGAATTTTTATATCAAAATTAAAGCATGCCTGTCTGTTTATGATTACTGTTAACCTTTAATAGTCTCATCCATTTTATTTATCGAAAATCTTCATAAAAGATATAAAAAGAAATACGAATATGGTATAAAGATGAATTGGTAAAGCAAAACTTTCATTACAAAACCATATGTAACCCTAGTTACAAATTTGGGCTATAAAAAAAGAAATTTTTGGTTTGAGTGAAGAATGGTATCTACAATAAAAGTTTATAAGCAAAAGATATTTTATTGGTATAGTCATCAACTACCAGTATGACATCATCACGTAAGCATTTTTCTCTCTTTACGTCTGTAGGGATAAAGCTAGATAAAGTGGATCGAAAAATTATTATCCCATCTTTATTTTTGATCTTTCGCATCGACCATAATAGCTAGAAGGAATTTTAAAAGAGATTTGAACAGTTGAACGAATTTCCAATCTAATGTGATGTAAACAAAGATTTCATCGAAAGTCCTGCAACCAGAATCTCTAGAAAACTAAAATCTTAGAAATTCAAGTCCCGGAGTTCGTTCTAGGAATTATTTGCAAATAAGTCTGTTGTTTGGAGCAAACGATTCTGAAAACAATGAGACGTCTCCAAGCTCTGTACGACATTTTTTCATGAGCGGCAATCAGTTTACGAAAGGTCCCATATTACTAAAAGCAGCAAAATTAAGGTAAAAACTAAAAAAAGAAACGGCCCTGGGGCCTTTCGTAAACGGAATGCTGTTTTATGAAAAAATGTCATACAGAGCTCAGAGACGTCTCATTTTCTTCACAAATGTTTGCTCTAAACAACAGACTTATTTGCAAATAATTCCTAGAACGAACTCCGGAACTTGATTTTCTAAGATTTGACAGAAGCGTTTATACGCATTTAAGAAGACAAAACAGTACAAAAACACCATTTAAACGTATTATTAATGCAGCAAGGCGTTTATCATTTTGTATTAAAAATGCGTCTAAACGCTATTCATTTGCACTAAAAACGCGTTTAAATGTCATCAGTTCGCAGTAGTAATACGTTTAAATGGTGTTTTTGTACTGTTTTGTCTTCTTTGCAAGCTGTACGGATTGGACTCCAACGGTTCTGCTCATGTTTTGAGCATTTGGAAGTTGTTTCAACTTTCGGAAAAGGGAAATTCAGCTTTTATACATAGTTAACGAACATAGAAACGACCCTGGGACCTTTCGTAAACGGAATGCTGTTTTATGAAAAAATGTCATACAGAGCTCGGAGATGTCTCATTTTCTTCACAAATGTTTGCTCTAAACAATATACTTATTTGCAAATAACGATTATAACCATATGAAAAGAAAAGCTTCATCTATTGATAGGAAAAATCAGATAGGTCGCCAAAATACCCCAGGGTCATTTTAAAGCGGCTACCCCGTTCAACCAGTCTCCATCCATTTTTGACTCTACGCTCGTTCAAACGCCATTTTTACACACAGTTTTTGATGTGAATGAGAAAAAGTTAGTTTAAAAGTTGTGAAAAAAGGTTTTATCAAAACAAAGTTTTTATCAACAATTAAGCGTGATAACAATTCGGTACCTGTATTCGTCTAAAGTCAATTCTACGATAAAGGTCATTCTTTTTGATTTTTTAGACCCTTGCAGTATTTCCGTTTTTTCTCCATGAAAAAAGGACTTTTAAAGGTGATATTCGTGATCAGCACAACAAGATAAATCAGAATATGTATGACAAATTGAAAAATAAAATCTACTCGCATTTTGCATTAGCACCTTACTTTTTTTCGTGCCAAAGGTTCGATTCCCGTGCTGTACACTTTTAAATGTATTAGTAAATAAAGTGGCACATTTTGTTGTTCAGCTTTTTGCAGTTTCTCGCATGAAATATTGCTCTTAAAGGAAAAAGTTGTCTGTGGCGTTTCGTAGCACCTGTAACATTTAATATAAAACTAAAAGTATCAAAGCACGATAGTGCCTATTGCAGAATACCCTTTCCTCGAGCACACTTGCGAAAATGCCTGAAAACTTGAATTTATGAGTAACATTGTACAGCATATACATTGAGACAAAAACGCAGCATGAAACTTCTACTACTCAACAAACAGCAAAAGAAAAGTAAGTTCGAAATATCTATGGAAGTCCAAATGTTAGCCTGGGTTTAACTTAACATTATTCGTTTCAGCTAGGAATTTGCTAATGTTAACTTATAATAGTATCCACATTGTTTTATCAACTCATTGTGTTGACCATATTCAATAATTTGTCCATTTTGTCCTATAACACATATTAAATCGCAGTTTCGGATAGTTGAAAGACGATGTGCAATCATTATTGTCGTACGATTTTCGTCTAATTGTGCACGTTCAAGCGCTTCTTGTACAATCTGAAATGAAAAAGACTTTCTAAAGTTGTTCTTTCTAACGTGGTACAAGCGAGACAAACCTTCTCATTTTTACTGTCCATTGCTGAGGTAGCTTCATCAAGCAGCAATATTTTCGGTTGTTTTAGTAAAGCGCGAGCAAAGAGTCGGTTCACGTATTTTGTAACGCACAGCCTCTTTACCTTCTTCTTCCGATACAGGCTGACTCAGTGAGAGTCTCACTCTGTGAACGTTCACACTTAAAGTGTTACGCAACAAAATATCTGACTCCGCTAGCCCAGATTACATAATAACGGTACAATCTCCATTGCAATGCGTTGTTTTTCGCCGCCTGATAGTTGTGTCCCTTTCATTCCAACATTTTTTCATAACCCTAGAAGAAAGAACACGAAGATCATATATGGTTAACTAAAAGGAAGAGTACAGCACCTGTGGCAATGTTTGTATAAAATCATGTATATTTGCTTTATTGGCCGCATCCATTATTTCAGCCATTGTAACATCTTCCATTGATCGTGAATGATCACCATAGGCAATATTTTCTCTAATTGTCAGATCAAATAAAACTGGCTCCTGACTAACTATAGCAATCTGAGAACGTAACCATTGCAAATTTAATTCACGTATGTCATAACCATCCACGAACTAAAGACAAAAAGATAATGTTACTCAAATATTAACACATTATGCGAACTAAATAGTGGGAAGTAAGAACAGTTTATAAGTAAATTTTGAAATCAATACTTGTAAACGTACCAAATGTCCCTTAGTGACATCATAAAATCGTTCAATCTAGTTGTATTATTGTTGATTTACCACAACCACTTGCACCTAAAGAAGTAGATATGTGTCACGATACATTCTCAAAACGGACAACTAGAACGGACCTACTAAAGCTATTTGTCGTTGATCTATAAATAGTAAAAATGAAATTTTAACCTTTAAGCGATGACTTTTTTCTTACCCAGTTTAATCGTCAGTTTAAATTTATTTAATATCAGTGCTTCTGGTCTTGCTGGATAAAAGAACTCCACATCAGTAAATTGAATTTTGCCTGTAAAATTCTCCTTTAATGGAATATACGTACATCATTATGAGAAAGTTTGACAGCTCTACTTTCTTCCACCACACAGATTGAGCTGAAATTTTGGCAAACGGATTAGAAACTATATATATTCTGAAAGTTTCGAACAACGGTTACTTAAATATTTTTCGATCATAGTGCAAAAGTCATTTATCAGATTGTACATTGAGCATATTTTATGGGAATTTTCAACTTCTGTTGCTAAGCTTGCTCTTGTCCTGCTAAAACTAAATAATTCGCCAATTGTATGCTATTGGACGGGTCACGGCGCCAGTTGTTAGGCTCGGTACTTTCTTCTATTTGCTCTACAAGACTGAGCTATTTATAAAATGTTTCCAAATCAAGTTTTGGTACTTGATTTTCTGGTCATTCCACGTGGGCCCACTTCCGACTTGATCTAAAAGAAGAACTGCTAATAAAAACGACGAGCACGGATTTTTCGGATATACTATTTTGTAGCGGAAAGACGACTCTTTCATGTCGAATCTTTGTCAGTTTTTTCTGACTGCTTCACAAAAACGTAACAAATGTTTTCTAGCAGTGTTTATATTTTAAGATTTACTCAGAAACGGTTTAGCCATAACCTGAGGCATTTGCATGGGTTATTGAAGAACAATCGGGCTAGACAATGAGATATTTTTTAATTTAAGCCTCGTGGTATATGAATAGAAGAGGTTTGTTCAGTTATTACATAGACTAATTATAGAATCGACTATGAGCCAGTCGATGCTGCCGAACTATACTGTGGAACGAAAAGGAAAGAAACAACATATGATAGTTTGATCATTATTTTGTAAAGAAAAGTGGTTTGGGAGTCTAGATATTAGGAATAGTCAATTACGTTGTAATCTCGCTAAGGCAACTGTGACTTTTACTCGAGGATCTTCGTGTTGAGATTTCACGATTTCCTACAGTACAGTACAACTTAGTTCACCTTCCAACTTCAAAGAAAGCCATCTGTTTGATCTTTCTTCCTTCTTCGCGCTTATAGAAGTGAACACCCTAGTGAATGTACTCATGTGTGAGTACTCAAAAAGTACTCTGCTGGAAAAACCGCACGAGTACTCATACGTACTCTTGCATTTTCAGTACTCATTGAGTACTCACATGAGTACTCATGAGTGAGTAACGAGTACTGTAGGTACGACTTTGAGTACTCATGCTAAGGTATTGTTGAGTACTCACATAACTTTTGATAATACTCATGAGTATTGTTCATCTGATATTTTCATACAGAGAAGTGATCTCAGGCAGCCAAAGTAGGACTACAAGTCTAGGCATAGACGAGTCCATCCCTGACTATATACGGAGAGACCAGTGAGAAAGTAATAACATAAATATTCTATATTTCTTCACTAAATTCTACGTTCTTTATACAGTTTCAGTTTAGCAAACTAAAACGGTGAATGAATATTTTCTGAGTACTCACATGAGTAACTGAGTAACAATACTCAAAAATTGTTAGTACTACTAATATGAGTACTCATGGACGAATTATGAGTAAAGTCGTACTCATCGTATGAGTACTTTCACTAGGGCATAGACATCAAGAAAAGGAGAAAAGAACAATTTTTCTATTTTAATCTAGATATTCATTTATTATGTCTAAACGAAGCAGTTCTCATCCTATATTCTAACAACTTCGAGAATTAAAATTAAATTAACTAGAGAGGACCATTTTCTACTTTTTATAGTAGTTTGAAGTACACACGTTGTACTATATACTGATGTATTTTCTAGAAAAAGATCCCTTTTAGTTTTTAAGATAGATGGCTCTCGATATTGGCGATTAACGTTTAACAAATCATACTTCTTTTATATGCAGCAGCTCTTTTTGACTACCATGACTTTCCGGCTTTCTCTTCGGGTCATGACACTGAGAGATAATGTGTGTTCAAACTTTACTTATTCAGTGAATAATCACATAAAATGAAATATCAAAATAAGATTAAATCAAAATTAGGTTTTTCTTTGAGATCTTTGTATATTCAGAATCAGTATAATCGATTGCGCGGTACAGCATGGTTCGTATATATGTATATAGAACGTTATTTCTCTTTAAAGAACAAAATAAGGAGAGGCAAAATTTTATATTTTAATTGAAATTTATTCTATATTCAAAAGAAGCAGTGCTGGCTGTGAATTTATTCTATATTCTGCCTACTTAAAACTACAATAACCAGAGAGGACCCTTTTCCACTTTCTATACTAATATGAAGCATAGGCATAACTACGTGGGAGAGGGGGGCATTGGACCATAGCCCAATGGGATTCCAGCCTTGACCCAATATGATTTCGAACTTTCTGGTTTCTTCAGCGGAATATTTGAAAAATGGGTTTTGTGGCCCACTTACTGCTCGAATTATCCTAGTGTGGTCCAATCAGTTTTGCTGAACTAAGGCAGCTCGCCCAATGGTAAAAATATCCTAGTTACGCCGCTGATCTGAAGTACACAATTTGTACTATATATTGACATATATTCTAGAAAAAGGTCCGTTTGAGTTTTGAAGATATAGAGCTGTCAATATCACAGATAATTAAAGTTAGTAAAATCTATGGATTTCACTTTGATTTTGGAATTTCATGAATTTGAAATGACCAACGTAATTTTCTTGACCACCTTTCGGAACATCATAGTCAGAGGAGTTCACGGTGAACTGTTGTTTTTTCTGGTGAAACCACTAAAACTGAAAAGTGAAACTCATACATTTTACTAAGTTTAATCTCGGATATTGACAGCTCTATATATTCAAAACTGAAAGAGATCTTTTTGTGGAAAATATACCAATATACAACATATTTGAGTCTCTCTTGTAGAGAATTTGATGCTAATTACGAATATGAATATCTTAGTTGCTATCGTTGATGCCTTAAACAAATAGAGGGTACAGCTTCTTCGTGCCTGCCGGCAGATATCAATCTTGTTAGACTGATACGTTTTGGTGAAGCAGTTAGAAAAAATTGAGAAAGATCCGACCTGAAAGAGTCGTCTTTCCGCTACAAAATATCATATCCAAAACGTTCATAGCTCATGTAGTTCCTGAGGCATAGGGCTTGCAAAAGATAGTGTGAAAAATCTTGAAATTACAGTCTGATCACGTTGTGATTTGAGACATGTGAAAGATATCCTATGAGGATTTTCCCTATGAATATACTCATTCACAAGCTCGAGGTTTCACAATATCTGGTGTCCGATGAATTATCTGTACGAAGCTGAAAATGCGATACAACTTTGTATCAATCAGTCATTCCACGTGGGCCCACTTCCGACTTGATCTAAAAGAAGAACTGCTAATAAAAACGACGAGCACGGATTTTTCGGATATACTATTTTGTAGCGGAAAGACGACTCTTTCATGTCGAATCTTTGTCAGTTTTTTCTGACTGCTTCACAAAAACGTAACAAATGTTTTCTAGCAGTGTTTATATTTTAAGATTTACTCAGAAACGGTTTAGCCATAACCTGAGGCATTTGCATGGGTTATTGAAGAACAATCGGG